TTTTTTTTTTTTTTTTGTATTAGTATCATGTTTTTCAGCTTTGACAGTTTCCTGAGATTTCACTGTTTGGGGACATTGAGCACTTGTCTGGTCTTCCAAGTTCCTGCTACTAAACTATTTTAAAAGAGAAACCATTGGGGAGCAGAGCAAGTCCCTGCAGTCTGGATCCTGGACTTTGCTGCTGTCACCCAGCGCGGTTCGACTTCCCAGCTAACACTGTGGTACCCACGTGAGCTGGCGATGCCGGAAAATCACCTACGGACCCATCTCGTGATTCCCGTAGCCAGACACGTGCTTTCTGTCACCCTGACTCTGTCCTGTACGTGTTTGGCGTGTGCTAAAGGGCTCCTGTCCAGGGATCCACGACTCGGATTAACTCTTCTTTCTTGGCCTTTCTCTCTACAGCCATTCGTGGATTTTCACCACAGCACAAGATCCGCAGCTTCGAAGAAGCCAGAGGGCTGGATCGCATTAACGAACGCATGCCGCCACGCAAAGATTCAATGCACTCAGACGGGCCGGTGAACTTGGTAACCTCAACAAACTCTGCGGACAAGAATGGCACAGGGAAGAAAGCCCAGTAACGGTCCGAGCGCCCAATCTGCACCACTAAAGGATCCAAAACTTAATGAATTTTATTTATTTATTATTGGGGTGGGGTGGGGGCAGGGGAGAAACCAACTTCACCTGGAGGCACGTTCATAATCCAGTTTGCATCCATTCTGTAAGAGAGGTGACCATTTTGTAATTTTTTTATTTATGTTCAATATATAAAAAGTCCATCTTTTTTTAATTTAGAAACCAATCTAACTGCTAGTGCATATATGAAGTGTTGTGCTGTACAGCTGACCTCTCCTCCACGAGAGGCAAACCTCTGTGGGGGGATTAAAAGAAACAAAAAAAAAAAAAAAACCAGTCCCAGGCAACTTGGGTCGTTGACTTTGGTACAATTCTAAGTTAGCCTGTGCTTTCAAAAGCAGGTCCTTTCGTCGAGGATAGGGTTGGTTTGGTTTTTTCTTTTCACAACTGTCTTCTTCCCAGAGTTTGCTGTTGTTTTCTTCAACTTCTTGCCTACCTGCATCTGCTGCTTCAGCAACCGATTCTGTGGAAGGCACGTTGCATCGTGCAGCTGGCTGGGATCCATCCCTCTTCCGAGGTGACATCCAAATATTCAGGATTAGCTCGAAAGGACTCCGGTGTGTTATACCGATCACGGCACCTTTTCCTTTCAGTAATTCAGTTTTATTCCAGCGGAGCCCCGAGCGAAAAAGTAACCTCTTGATAAGAACGGGAAGGCAGGTGGGAGAAGCGCTGCCCCTTGTTGCAGCTCTTCCCGAAGCTTCGGCCGTTGGGACTCGGTGCAGCCAGCTGTACGCCGAAAGTTTATCAGCTGGGGCTTGCCCGTGCAGCAGAAATCCCTCTGGGAATCCCTCTGATTCAGAGCAGAGGAATTCTCTCTGATCTCTAGCGATCAGCAGGTCTTTGGGAATTCTGCAGGGCCTGAATTTTAAAGGAAAAGGGGGTGATTTTATAACCTGTGGACAGAAAGACACCCCCCCTCCCACTACCACCGTCACATACTGCAGAGCCCGTGGCACATTCCCCCGCGCCCAGCTCTCGAATCAGCCCTTGCTGATCGGTATTTGAGTGGTGGGCGTACGAGGTGGTCCCCCCTAAACCAGCATCACCTCCCAGTCATCCAGCACGCGTCTTTTCAGGGGGGGTCTTTCACCTACTGCGGACGATTTGGGCTTACCCTGCTGCCGGTTACCTTGTTAGCCAGCGGTTATTCCTCTGACTCCAAAGGAGCCACGGGCACGTCAGCCTTTCCCGGTATCCGGAGAGGGTTTTTGGGTTTGTGATAAAGATTTGGGGAAGGATGGACGACGGTGGTGCTGCTGGTTTCTGTAGAGATGTGGCTTGTTGGCTGACGGCCAGCGGCTTTGCGAAAAAGCCCCTGGTTTGGGAAGCGGAGGATGGTTTTTTACGGTAGGTCGGCAGGTAGAAGAACCGAGTGGATCTGGCAGAAATTTTGGAAGGGTGTTTGTGCAGTGCTGGAGAGGGAGGGGGATCTCCCGGTGAAAGGAGGGTTTCCAGAGGACACCCTCTTTGCGGTGACGAGGGTTTTTGAAGCTTGGGGCTGTTAAGCAGAGCCTCGTTCTTTGGCCTGGAGCGAGTGTTGAAAAAGGGATTTTTGTGAGATTCCCATTTGGTCGCTTCCCTTCCCCGCGTGTCATTTGAGCCGCAGCCTCTTCTGCCTGCGATCGCAGAGAGTCAAAGCGGGAGCTTTCAGAAGCGAATCCCTTGCCAGCTCTCACTTCTTTCCCAACTTAACTGTCTATTCTGCTTTCTCCAAGCAAGGGCAGCAGGTGAGCAGGCTCAGCCTCTAAAAAGGGATATTTGCCAACCCCTTCTCTGGATCTTGCTGTCTTCCCTTTGTGCTCCGGCCCTGAGCTGCGATTCCAGCGACAGAGGAGAACAGCAACTTTGCAGGAAGCTTTCAAATTGTCTTCTAATCATACGTCACTTAATTTCATGCCAGCTATTTAGGAAACCGTATCTGTGAGCAGACCACTGGGTTTTCACAAGAGACTTTTGAGTCACATGCCTCCACTTTCTCTTCTTTTTTCTTCCCCCTCCCTCCCTCCCTTTTTTACACGCCCACTGCTTTGCAAAAAGTGCGAGATGTTTTTGAGCAAGCTTCTCTAACCCCATACGAGGCGTGGGGCCAATTGCCTTTGTCTGTGAGTATTTCTTCTGTTTTTTAACGGCATCCTTTCTGAAACACAGTGAGCCGATGTGTGGTATCTTCCTCTGAGAACGCAAACCGTGCAAAGGTGCTGCCCGTGCATGTTCGGGCGTGTTGTTCTGACCCAGGCTGGGATCTCAACCCAAGCAGCAGTTGTTTTTGGGTTTTTTTGGGTTTTTATTTTGAGTCGGGAGCTTTGGGACAGGTGCCGTGGGGCGATGCTCGTACCCCGAGCCTGGCAGCCCGTGCGTGGGATGTGTGTGTGGGGGGGGTGGTGGGTTTAGCGAGGAACCCGTCCCTTTGCAAAGGGGGATTTGCTTTGCTCGTGGTTTGTCCCCCAACCTTCTTCTCGTGCTCTGGGAGCCGTCCGGCAGCCGGCACGTATGGATGCCATACTGCCAGGCGAAGCACAGGCTCTCGTTGCTGTAGCGATGCCGGTGCTGGTCCCCGCTTCCCTTGATACGAGTTCCCGAGGGGGTGAGGAGCAGCGATGGGGTGCGTGGGTGCTAATTACCCCCTTGATTGACTTAACCCTCTCC